AACCCTAAACCCCCCTAAACCCCAAAGAGCCTCCGAGATTACCATCGATGTTTGGGCCACCTCTGGCGGAGAGTGCGAGGTCCATGTTGTCAGATGAAGGGTGAAGTCGAGCGAATTTAGGGTTTAGGTTTTTGGGTTAAGGGTTGAGGGTTTTTTCGGGTTTAGGTTTTAGGTTGTAGGTTTAGTATTCCTGGTTGAGGCTTTTTTAGGGTCTAAGTTTTCGGGTTAAGGGTTTTTTGGGGCCTAGGTTCTAGGTTTAAAGTTTTCGAAGTGTTTAGCTCTCTCGTGATTCTGCATTTGCGTGCGGCTGGGGGTCCGGAATGCGGTTGAAGCTTCCGGAAGTCACTGGGTTGACTGGATGTCGGGCGTGGTGATGAAATGAAGTCTTGCGGCGCGTTGATTTTCAACCAGCATTTTTTGTCCGGATGCATGTACCCTCAATGTTGGGGAAGTGCATGGGCTCCAGGTCGGCGACCAAATCGCTGCAGTCGCAAAACTCATCGGATTCGCACAGCAGATGATGCAGCAGAGCATGGCGAACAGCCGGCAGACGGAGGATCGCCGAGTGGAGCAGTGGAGCAGATCGCAAGCTGCGCCTAGGCATGGACAAATTAAGTAGGTGCTTGTTTGTCGGATTGGGATTACTTAAGGACTTCAGGGTATATTTGGAAAGTAGGCTGTAGGATTGGTAGGGGTGCAAGGATTCAAGGCTAGGAACGGCGTTCCGTCCAGGCTGATAGGGGCACGGCAGCAGAAGGAAACGGGGTCTACGAGACTGTTCGGGGAACAGCCTTTCTTTGCAGCAGCTCTTCGCTGAAGGGATATTAGTTTCGCAGACTAATACTGTAGAGGCCCTCATAATTAGAATAAAGTTTTCGGGCCCATGATACTATGATTATAATAAGGAACCCTCCCAAAAAAGTATTGTTCATTATTTAGGCCCCTACATTACTACTTTGCTTCTGGAGGCTTAGGTCCGGTTGGACGTGCCTCCTCATGTGAATACGAATACTAATGAGTACGAGTACTAATACTAGTCAGGTAGCCTAATAGCAGCCTT